GCTCAAAAAAATTAAGCACGATTAAAAAAATTAATCGTAATTAATCACAGTTTTAATTGTGATTTAATTAAACAATAGAATACCAATTGAAACTTATTAAATATTTTGGATATTTTTCTACATTTTCATATATATTGTATTCTGTATTGTAATTGAAATCAAAGTGTATCTTTTTTTACAAATATTTGCACTGTAAAAATGAAAAGCAAAAGAAATAGGAATTTTCAATTCACCTCATACAAGTACTGTAGTACAATCTTTGTCATGAAAGTGCAACGTACAAATATAGATTTTTTTTGTTATATAACTGCACTCAAACAAAACAATGTAAAACTTTAGAGCCTACAAGTCCACTCAGTCCTACTTCTTTTTCAGCCAACCACTAAGACAAACAAGTTTGTTTACATTTACAGGTGATAATGCTGCCCTCTTCTTATTTACAAGGTCACCAGAAAGTGCGAACAGGCATTTGCATGGCACTTTTGTAGCTGGTATTGCTAGGTATTTATGTGCCAGATATGCTAAATGTTCATATGCCCCTTCATGCTTCAGCCACCATTCCAGAGGATATGCTTCCATGCTGATGACACTCGTTCAAAAAAATTATGCATTAATTAAATTTGTGACTGAACTCCTTGGGGAAGGATTGTATGTCCCCTGCTCCGTTTTACCTGCGTTCTGCCATATATTTCATGTTATAGCAGTCTCAGATAATGACCCAGCACATGTTGTTCATTTTAAGAACCCTTTCACTGCAGATTTCACAAAACGCAAAGAAGGTACCAGTGTGAGATTTCTAAAGATAGCTATAGCACTCCACCCAAGGTTTAAGAATCTGAGGTGCCTTCCAAAATCTGAGAGGTATGAGGAGTGGAGCATGCTTTCAGAGTCTTAAACGAGCAACACTCCGATGCGGAAACTACAGAACCCGAAACACCAAAAAAGAACTTCCACTGGTAATATCTGACTCAGAGGATAAAAATGAACATGCATCAGTCCACATGGCTTTGGATTCTTATCGAGCAGAACCCGTCATCAGCATGGACACATGTCCCCTGGAATTGTGGTTGAAACATGAAGGGACATATGAATCTTTAGCGCATCTGGCATGTAAATATCTTGTGACGCCATCTACAACAGTGCCATGCAAACGTCTGTTCTTACTTTCAGGTTACATTGTAAACAAGAAGCGGGCAGCATTATCTCCTGCAAATGTAAACAAACTTGTTTGAGCGAGTGGCTGAACAAGAAGTAGGGCTGAGTGGACTTGCAGGCTCTAAAATTTTACATTGTTTTATTCTTGAAGGCAGGTTTTTTTGTACGTAATTCTGCATTTGTAAGTTCAACTTTCATGATAAAGAGATTGCACTACAGTACTTGTATTAGATTAATTGAAAACTACTATTTGTTTTTTACAGTGCAAATACTTGTAATCAAAAGCAAATATAAAGTGAGCACTGTACACTTTGTATTCTGTTGTAATTGAAATCAATATATTTGAAAATGTAGAAAACATCCAAAATATTTAAATAAACAGTATTCTATTAGTGTTTAACAGTGTGATTAATTGCGATTCATTTTTTTAATCACTTGACAGCCCTAGTTTTTATTAATGAATAAAATGTTTATTTAACTGCAAAGAGATATTTAAAGTGAGTACAGTTATAAGGCATTAAAGTCAGAAATGGTTACAAGAGAGAAAAATAAAATGCTTTCTAAATTTAACAAGCTAGACTTGGTTCAAGGTGAAGTTCTTACCACAGCTTCCCAGAAACATTTCTGACCAAATTCTCAGGCCAGAATCTGCTAGCAAAATCCAAACGCTGTTTCTTTTGTTGTTTTAGGTGAAAAAGAGAGAGATGAAGAGAGAGAGAACTTGGGGTGTTTTTGCCCTTCACTGTTATAGTTCAGTCACTCTGGGAAATGCATTTAACTTTCCTAGTTAAAGTTCATTCAAACAGTAAAGAAGGCAACATGGTGTCTGGTGGTGAAAGAGTGTGCATGCTGTTTCTTCTCCCCTCTGCTGAAATACACGTTTTCCTTGTCCCCTGTCTTAGGACCCTGTTTACAACTTTTATTAAATTGAGATGCACACACTTCTGTGTTTAGGACTTTTTCTAGTGCAGGGCTCTGTGATTTTTGATCATGAGCTAGTAATATCATACAGGGGGATTTTATAACTTAACACATAATGTTGCTACATACTTTTTACCATGATTTTATTGACCAGCAAGTTAATAGTTTTCAAATGATACATTACCAGGGATATTTTGTACAAAGATTATTACAGTGGTGTGTAGGGTGTGAATACAAGGATGCATTCAATCACAATAATCCAGCATGTTTTAGATGTCCATATTTAAAGGATGCTGCTGCTTTCCATCCTGGAGGCACACTGATATGAAAATCCTGTTGTGACAGCTCTGTGGACCTTAGCATGAAGGAGAATAGAAGAATTTATCCATGTTTATTTGAAAATTTCCCTTTGAGTAATAAAATCCATAGACACAGCCCACCTTGAAGACAAATGGATCATTCAGAATAGAGATGGAAATTGGCATCCAAGGATTTGGATTTGTTGTCATTAGGTAGAATTTACCATACTCTGCGGTAGGAGAAATTGTGTATTTAACACAATCTGTAATTTTTAAAAGTAGATTTGAATTAACCTGGCTGGAGTAGTAATGACAATTACAGTGTCATCGTTAGGAAGTGGGGAATTTCCCCACTGCCAGTTACTGACAGGTCTGGTTCTGCCGCCAAGCTGAAAGCAGGCTGTAGTAACCATTGTAACAGATCTGTTGACCTTATTATTGAAGTAAGGAAATTTTCTGGTAAGCATGGATATATGTTCCTATGCTGGGTTTTAATTTTGTCAAGTGAAATTTCCAGGCCTTATTTGCACTGAGTTATTTTTTTTTTAGTGGAAACATTGCTTACATTTTATTTTCTGTTTAACAGGACAAGTTAATTATCCAGTATTGGTATGAGTAAACAATGTTTTGATTTGTCTAAATATTCAGAAGTAGTTTTTTATCATCAGCATACACTTGTTACAGATTCAGAGTGCTGATAGCTTCTATCAGAAAGGGAGCCCAATTACTGCAGAATCAGTGTCAGGTCTCTGAGATCAGTGTGACAAAGGATAGCCAAGCTGTGTGAGATCTTTGAAGGCAGGACAAGGCTAGTTGGAGGTGGGAGGGAGCTACAACTGGTGAAAGTTCACTGGGTTTGTATATAGGGTAATCAGATTGCTGCGGATACGATGCCATAGGAAACAGCAGCAGTAGCTGTTGTAGGTTTCCTTCCCTGTCATCAACCTACCTGGTCAAGGAAGCAGAAGGCGCAGGAGCAGTGTGAAGTAGCAGCTGTGACTGGAGCACCTGCAAAACCCCTCCCTTTGGCCTGGAGTATGCAGAATACATTTAAAGAGCAGACCTCTCTCCATTCCCAGGCCTGTCTACAAGGCTGGGGAGCACCGCAGGCTTGGTGAGGAGGGGCTTTTCTTCTTTCTCTAGACTACTCCATGTGTGGTTTGCTACTGGTGACTCTGCCATTCACTGAAGGAGGTGCATCAGAGAGGATGTATGAATGGGAATTCATGCATGTCCTGGTACTCCTGCCATTGGGTTCATGTACAGCCAGGGAGGATAAAAATGTTCAAAAAATGCTTGTTACCAAAAGAAAAAAAATCAAGAAATTTACAAATGATCAAAGATGACTTGAAGTTTTTTTTTTTTTTAAATTCTTATCCATAACATTGCACTAATGAGTAGGGCTCTGCCAAATTCATGGATGTGAAAAATGTGTCACAGACTGTGAAATCTGATCTTTTGTGTGCTTTTACCCTATGCTATTCAGATTTCATGGGAGGGGGGAGTCCAGTGTTTCTCAAACTGGGGGTCCTGACCCAGAAGGGGGTTGCTACCTTCAGAACTGGGTGGCTGGAGAGCGGCGGCTGCTGACCAAGGACCCATCTCTGAAGGCAGCAGCACAGAAGTAAGGGTAGCATGGTATGGTATTGCCACCCTTCTGCGCAGCTACTGGCGGGGTGCTGCCTTCAGACCTGGGCGCCCAGCCAGCAGCCGTCGCTTTCTGGCTGCCCAGCTCTGAAAGCAGAACCATCGCCAACAGCAACGCAAAAGTAAGGGTGGCAATACCGCAACTTCCCTAAAATAACCTTGCGATCCCCCCCACAGCCCCATTTTGGGTCCAGACCCCTACAGTTACACCACCATGACATTTCAGATTTCAATATCTGAAATCATGAAATTTACTTTTTAAAAAATCTATGACCGTGAAATTGACCAAAATGGACCATGAATTTGGTAGGTCCCTACTAAAGAGGCATTTGACAATGAATGACTTAGAAGAGAAATTCTTGCTTATATGCTCAAAAGTCAACAAAATAGAACTTAGACACTTTAAAAATTGTCATTATTAACTGGATTATTAACTATTCCTATTTTAATGACTTTGTTATAATATTTAATATAAAGTTTTTTTGTTTAAAATGTGCTTGTGGGGAGGGAAATTAGAAAGAAGTTTTGGCTAAGTATTTGTATGGTTCTTCATGTGACCCTCTGTTCTCTGTTTAGTATATTTGTACTAAGATATGAAGTTTACTATACAAGCTTATTCTCCTTTTTGCCACACTTGCATAAATTGTGATATGTTACAAGGATTTGTATGTTTGTGTTAGTAAAAGACCACATTTGTATGTTCATGAGCACACATCCTATTCTGTCAGTAGTGCAAAGGAAGTACAGTAATTGTATAATCCTAATATGTGATGAGCCTGTTAATTTTTTCTTTTTCAGATATTTATTGAAGTTTGGGGAAATAAAGCAATCTTAACTGGCCTCTTAGCCATGTTCCTAACTTACTAAATACTTGTACTTTTGCCAGAGTAGCACATTGTGCGCAAGTTCAGAGCTTACAATAGTAACTCATCTTTTTGTATTAATCACTGTATTATGTGTGCAATTTTTCTTTTGTAGGTGGGAAATCCTTTGGTCAGAAGCACCTACCAAGGTGAATTCTCCTCAGGCTCGCCAGTTCACACCTTGTATTAAACAGATTGACTTTCCCACAAATCTAATTCGATTGGAAGTAAATAGTTCCCTTCAGGACTATTACGCTGAATTAGATGCAGTAGTACTACATGGTGTGAAAGAGAGACCTGTACTTTCGCTTAAGACTTCGATGATAGATATGAATGATTTGGATGAAGATGATGATGAAGAAAAGAATGGCTCTGAAATGGATAGTCTTAATAAACAGTTCAGTGTTGCAGCCCTCAGGGAATGGACAACTAATGGGTATTTTGATAAACTGCCTTATGAGGTAAGGAAAAAATGCTTATTATACTAAAATGGAATTGTCTCAATCAGAGGGCAGAAATGCTGTATAGTTACTCATCCAAAGCTATATTTTTTTCCTCACTGGTTATGCAATTCCTTGCATTCCGGTTGTGGGTGTCTGATTTACATAATCATTGTCTAGTTATTTCTCAATGGTCATATAATAAGTGACTTTGTATACGTTTGGTGATTGTTATTAGCCAATCAGTGTTCAGGTAACCAGACTGTGAGCATGTACATTTCAACTTAGCTACTACAATCCCTCAGTTCTGCCTCTTGAACTCAGAATTTTTCATCTGTTTCCCAGAACATGCACGCTGTGGCTTTTCATTCCTTTCATTTGAAAAATTCCAGACTTTACAGTACATGAAAGAGAAGGAAAATTACTAAAAAACAAACTACTGAAATAGAAATCATTTTTAAAATAGTTTAAGCCCTTCATCTTTTCCATTGTCCCTGTCTACATACGACATCAGGACTCTTGTCCCTAAAATAATTACTATACAGCATATTTGTATTTATTGTTTGTATTGGGGAAAATCTCGGCATCTTCCACCCAATTCGGTGTTGAAACACAACACAAAATACACTAAAGCAGCGATCTCCAAACTTTTGTGTATTATTTTGAAAAAGTCAAGAGGTCACAATCAGATTCACTGTCCTATTCTAGAGCCTTTGCAGATCCTCTGCTTTGCAACACAGAAGGTGCCAGAACCATCTGTAAATTCCATGGGAAGAATACACTCAGCATGGGAGAGTCACCAATGGCTTTAGGGCCAGCATAGACAGCTCTTCTCCCTTCCTCCTTGTAGTCCCCAATGCAGAGGGTATATTGGCCGTGGGGATTGGCTGGTATATACTGTGTTGGGGACTATAGCCTTCTGCTCAGATTATAGCCATTTGTAGGCTTCTCTAATCTGTAGTAAGGGAGAGAATTGGGGAACCATAACTGATATTGGTTCTCAGCTTTTCCTTTTACTCACCTCTTTGGATGCCCTAGCTGGTTGTGTGGGGAGGAAAAGGAGCCATCCTTTGCTAGGCATTCCCCCGGGACCCAGGGAAGCTCTTCTTGGGGTTCCCAGACCCTAGCAAGGAAGAAGGCAATAGAACAGGCAGTTACATTCTCCTTCCCCTACAGTGCAACAGCAGCTACTGAGAGTGCTCCTAGCTGGAATCGGAGCTGCTATTGGGGCTAAAGGAGAAATGCTGGGAAGTGGTGGTCTCTTCTATCACCTCCCCAAGTGTTGGAGCTGGTTCAGTCACTTTCCATTTTAAAATTGCAGGGCATGGCTCAGGGAACAAATTTTCAACTCAGAATCAATTACAAAGGTTTTTTTTCCTTAATACAGTCACCTCTGAGGGCCAATGTTTAGAATCTAAAGGACCAAGCTGGGCACCAGTGCATTATAGCTCTTCTGGGAAGAACCTGGCTGAAGGGAATGAGTGGGGAGAGAGAAGAAGGAGATAAGAGTGAGGATGTAAGAGGAAAGTAGTGGAGATTCTGGGAAGGGGAGCAAGGAGGAGGGGCCAAAAGTGTTGAACTTTTAAAAGAAAATAGTTTTCCTCTCAGCTCACTTTTGTTTTTGTAGTTTTTCTTTCCATTTAAAGTTTTTAGTATTAAAATACAACATTCAGTCTAAAGAGGAGTATTCGTAATATTTGTGTGATAGTCAAACTCTGGGCCCCATTTCTCACTGTTTCCTTATTCTAATCAGCTCAGTATTTAATTAATGAGGAAATAGCTGTATTCTGGCCTGAAACATTTTCAGGCTATCACAACACACACAGAATAGTTTAGTTTTATATAAATGTTGTTACTCCTAATATCTCAAATGCACAAAACCCAGGCAAAACATTTTATTGTTTTGAGTGTACTCTGGGACACTGTCTGCCCCAGAAAATCTTGTCATGTATTACTTTGTTCATTATATTTTTCATCATTTAAAGAAAATACTTCTTAAACTAGGAAAAATGTGTTTAAAAATAGGTCTGTTTTAGAAAGGATAAGCAAACTGATTTGCAGTCTGTTGGATCAACAAAACGTTTCTTTTGGTGATCTTATTCTTATCCAAGTCCTTAAAGGTATCAGCGAAGAAATGTTTTGGATCCATTTCTGTTGTGCCTATGAACTCCTGTCTCCTATTTGTGTGTCTCCATTTTTCTCTCCTTTTAGTGTATTGCTTTTCCCTTTTTTTTTACCCATTTTTTAATATGTTGGGTTTCATGAATACATTTATATGGTCTCTCAGGTATCAATGACATTTTATGTTTTGTGTGTCCAGCCCCTGATCCACTGAACACTTGCAGTGTTCATAGATTTGCTGCTACCAAACAAACAGAACACCCCAGCTTACCAGTTCCACCTCAGATCACATCTCTCTGCTTTACTTAGATATATATATAGTAAAATCAAATGTACAGTAAGTTTATTTAGCAAAGCACAGATTCAAGTAATAACAAGTAGAAATATTGGAAACAAATGGTTACATATAAAATAAAATCATAGCATGCATTCTAGAGCCTAGACTTAATTAACAAGATACTCTCATGCCTTGTAGAGTATTGTACATCCAAAATCCATGTAGCAGACAGGTTGGCTGTGACCCTCCTTTCAAGGCAGTCCATTTGCCTCCTATGTGAAGAGTCCCATGTGTTCCCTTGCACCTCAAGATATATGAGAACAGTCATTTTTCTTTATGAATAAGCAGGACCCCTCCCTCTTGCTCTTTTTTTCCTCCTGCAAACTTCCTCTCTTGCAGATTTTGCAATCTCTCAGTTCACCTGACTTAATATGCAGATAGACCTATATTTTGAGACAAATAATACACACATGACTGGGAGAAAGGGCGATAGGTATCGTTACCTCCTGCCTGAAAATAACGTTTCAGAGGTATATCACCTCTTGGTGATCTGCCTTAACTCCCACACTTTGAGAACATAATTTTTAGTATAAATAAATAACTCTTTAAATATCATCCAGACACATTTCGCAATGATTATGACCACCAGTGGGCTATTGGCTCTCAGTAGACACCTCACGTGCCACCCTTTGGTCAACTATTATGCAGATATCCAACCCAGAGGATTCCTTTAAAACTCTATGCTTCCTCTCAGCCAGTTGGCACCAGTAAGTCCATGGGTCATAAAAGAATCCACTGGGCCCTGGCTTTTTCCTTTCAAGGCTTTAGATTATTTGATTCCTGTCTCTGACAGGAAGATCCTTTTAGAACAGTCCCATTCCCCCCACCGCCCTTTGTGTGTTCCATTCTTTAACTCTAGAAAGGACACTGAAAAATTTGCAGTATGTTTTTTCCACATTGATCAAAGCTTGCATCCTGAGGCACATAGGTGATGGAAGTTGCTTGCTCAGTAAGAATGAAAGCCCGCTCCACCTGAGTGGCTTTGGCAATTTAAGTAAAGCATCAGTGGACAAATTCTGCAAAGCAGTCACTTGACACTCTCTCCACACATTTACTTTGCATTGAATGTACATGCATTTGCTGATAAAACCTTTAGTCACATGGTACTTAGGGCTGCGTGTTCCCTCTTAAGGAGCCATTTGCTATAAGGATAGGGAGCTGGAATATACTATCTCCCCTTCCTGTCTTTTTCATCAGTGATTCTAGTACACACTTTTTTCCTGATAGCTTGTCCACACTCCCTTTTTCACAGCTTAGGTGCTTGCTAAAGTACTGCTGTACCAGACCTGGTCATGGAGATGAAAAATTATAATGCCATTTACCTGATAATTTCTTTCTGGCAACACAGACTCTCATCCAGAGGAACTTTGTTCTGAATAAGGAGCTAATGTAGATTAACACACATTTTCTTTTGGATTGGAAGGAATCAAATTGGAGAATTTGGTGGAGATTCCTAGAAAAAGCAAAAATTGTAAGATTTGATTGGTCCTCACACCCACTTGTCTGGCCAAGGAGAAAGGAAGAACCCAGAGTCTGTGCAAATTTGACTCGGTCTTGGAAAGGAAATTATTGGTTAAATGAAGTTGTAATTTGCTTTTGATCATATTAAAATGCTATTGCTGAACAAATTTACTGTAGATAAACACAGTGCATTTAGTGGTTACAGTATTGTTAAAGATATATTCCATGCATTGAAGAGCTAAAAATTAGTGTAATGGGAAATCGGTTCTCCCCTGTATGAACCAGTAGATTCTCATCAGCTCCAGGGAGTTCAGAAGACAAACACTAATGTGACTTGTGACCAGCTAAGCCCCAAACACAGCTCCAAATGTTACCAAGTCTGATGAGCTAGGATGACCTGACCACCACCAAAAGGGTGGTGGTGGGGAAAGGGTACCAGAAAGAATGTAGGGATATATATAAAGGGGTGTATTGGTAGTTTATCATGATCTGCACCTAAAGTTTTAGTCCCATTTCCCCGTAAATTCCCTTACCTTTCTGGCAGTTCCACAATTTCCTTGGGAAGAGTCCTACCTCTGTCACGAAAATGTGAAAGTGAGCTGTCAGGTGTGGGGAGAAAAGAAAAATGCAACTAGCTGACTCCAATTAACCAGTCCTCCCAGAGGATGGTGGTGAGAGGGGCCTGGAGTTTTATATAAGCGCAGACCTAGCTCATTCCAGGGGGGAGAGAGCAGAGTCAATACCCAAGGAGGCTGGGAGGCTGAAGGAGTACCAAGGGGAAAAACAGCTCCAGAAAGAGGTAGGAGGAGAGACTGTCACCTTGGGGAAAAGGTACTGAGTTTGGATAGAGTTGAGGCCTGCCTTTCTAAGAAACTGGAATTGCCTGAGAGATAAGCGAAGTTATTGGGAAATGGGACTAAAGACAGGGTGTTGATGATGATGATAATAAAAGGGGTGTATCAGGTTTTTAGTTTCTAAGTATTCTTACATTTTCTTTGGTGTGGTCATGTCATTCTGGCTTACCAGCCTCGGTGACATTTGTAACTGTAGAATTTGAGACTTAGCCAGAGGGCCAAGTCATGTTAGTAATTGTCTGCTGAACTCCCTGGGGTTGGTGAGAATCCATCAGTTCATAACTGTATAAACACCCTGTGCCTTAATGGAGGAAGGGAAATGTTCTGTACTTTTTTCTATAATCTTGTATATACATCTTGAGCTCATCGCAAACAAGTGAGTTGCTGCAATGTGAGAACATGGGATATGATGACAAAATGGAGACATAGAATAGATGATTACCTTTACTGTGTGTAAAGAATAACCTTTTCCTTTTTTCTTTTTGAGTTTGTTCACTGATAATTATTTAGAGCTGCGAGTGGAGACTTCCAAATTGGTGCTTTGAATGTAGGTCCAATATCTGAATGTTCATGCTGTTGTTCTAGCATATATTGATCTAATGAGTTATCCTCTTTAAAAGCAGGGTACTCTGTACTCATTCATCTTGAAAAAGCATATATCCGATTTGTTATAATTTTTTTCTGTCTTACCTTAAGAAAACAACTCTTTTTTTTTGTATTCTGTTTCCTTTCTGTTGAAATCATATGTAAGTTTTAAATACCCTCTATGCTCTTTCTCTTTGTAACAAAGATGGCAGCTGCCATAATTCTTCATCAATGTAAAGTAACAACAGTTTGAAGGAAACTCCACATGTTAGGAGATTAGTTTTCAAAAGCAGATATTCAGGCCAGCTGCATTCTGGGAGTTGTCCTGAACACAGAATAGTATAGCGCATCACATATTCATTATAGTATCAATTTGTACTTTATGCTAGGGGACACACGGACACACTCTCTCTACTTTTTTTCATTTTGGATATTACAAAATAGTCTAATTTTAGTAAATAAAATAAAATGTTGGGTTTAAATTTTTCTGGTTAAGAGGCTGATGTAGTAAGAGATTTCATCTCAGGTGGTATAGAGGTAATGTTCTGTAGGTTAGGAAATACTTTTAAAATAATTAGTTTAAAGGGACATTGGTGAGCTTTTCATAGTCTTGCCACTGTTTGTAGTGCTCAGAAGTCAAAATATTTTTTCCATTTAGCCAAATTTTGATGTTCTCCATCTCCAGTTTTCATTGCAGTCGAAATTAATGTTAATTTATCAGAAATTATGTCAGCATAATTCTGGAAGTAGGTTTTGCTGACTTGTATTCCCTTTGTTGGTCAGCTTGCCTGTTCAACAGGAGAGCACTATAAGTCACTAAAGATCTTAGATGAACAGTGGATATTTTACTGCAGTGGAAAAAAACTTGGAGGGAGTAGTGAATATTCAGAAAATATATATTTATGGTGGATTATAAAAAATGGAATAGCTGAAAGCTTACAGCGCCGCTATAATTTTAGTGAAAGCATATGTATTAGAGGTATAATAGAACCACACAAAGAACTTTGTTAAGCAACTGTGCATTTCTTAACAATGCCGAAATCAAGGAACTTTAGTTAAGCCAATATTAATGTCATGCCACCTCGACTCCCATGAAGTTATTCATACATCACAATACCTAAAAGCACTAACTCCTCAGCTATGCAATATATTTCCTTTCTATTGCAACATGTAACCAACCACAAAATGCATGTTCAGTTCTTCACAGTCTCATTGAAATGCACAACCTGAACTCCAACCTCAGCTAGTTAAAAAGAGTTTCCCTCTAAACATGTATACTAGTGAAGTCTGTTGTTTGTACATGGAAGACTGAACATTAAGACTGCAGTTAAAGTTGTGTGGTTCTAAGGAACTGAATGTGTGCACAAATTGTATTGTTTGTATGTTAGAAATTAAAGGACATGTGTGAAGCCAAGGAGTCTGAGAGTGAGTTTGTGTTTATTATATCTGAGTACAGAATCTAGAGCTGGGTGGGAATCAGATATTTCATTTTGCAGGGAATTTTGTGACTTAGAAATTTCTTCCATTCTGAAACAGAACACACAAAAGTGTTGAAATGTCCTGTTAAATGAAATTCTAGGGGGTGGAATTCATTTTGGGTTGATAGAAATATTTTGTTTTTACAAAATTGAAATGTTTCATTCCTATTTTGATTTGATAATATATAACATTTAAAAAATTGAAATAAAAATCAAAATATGTTCAGTAAAGGTTAAATGGAGCAAAACATTTATTTCAGATTTTGTTTTTAAACAAACTTTTGTCAAAACTGGCACATTGCTTCTAAATGTTTTGCTTTCAACAAATCTGCGTTTACTGGCCGAAAAAAATTCTGTTGGAAAATGTTTTGACTGTCTCTAAATCATTTGCCTTTAGGTGTTTGTGTGTGTTAATGTTGTCTTAACTGGAGATTTCTTTCATTGTTAATGAGTGTAATGATTGAGTGAATTTTCTATCAATCTCTAATCTAACAAAGTTTTTGTGTGGCAGTTTTCCTGTTTTTTTTTCCTTTTTAAATGAGTATCCATATTTATATTTATCCACGTTTACAAGTGGAACACGGTAGGGAAAGCAAGAGTAATTGAACTAGGGCGTTATAAGGTGTGTAGTAGGGCTGGGGAGGCAGATTGGGGAGTATTTTGGAGTCATAGCTGTTTGCTTTGGTACTGGCTAAAGAACTTGTGTTTAGAGTTACATCTGGAACAGGGAAGGGATGGAACCCCAAGCACAAAGCAAGAGAGTGATTAGGTCTAGGAAAAAAAGAGTCAGAAACTGGGAGTTATACACTGGTCACATTTACTTAGTTGGACTGCAGCCAGAATCGTGGGGCCTGGGAGGTGTAGGGCTGAGGCTGAAGCATAGTTGAATCTTACAGCAGGGAACAGAGGGCTAAATCCCAGAAAGATCAGGGAATGGGAAGTTTGGAGCAGAGCAGGGGTGCTGGAACAATTTGTATAATGGAGTTGCTGAAAGCCATTGAACCAAACTGTAAACCCTGTATATGATGGAAACCACTTCAACTCCAGGGGTGCGGCAGCACTCTTAGTTCCAGCACCTGTGGAGCAGAGTCTAATTGTTGTCTCTTGCAAATGTGCTACTGGCTGAAAAACAAATGCAGGGAAGAAGAGAGAGGATGTCAATTCAGTGTCTGGTCAACTCAAAGAGCAGACTGTGAAGGAAGCTATGGAAACATAGGGTTTACATTTATACAACTTCAAATTAGCTCGGGTAAGAAGCTTCTTAATAGTTACAAAGCTTCTGTTTCTTTTAAATGCTGTTTCTTTTCCTCTGTTGCTTAATGTTATCTAACTGATAAGGTGGTGATTTCTTATTTAATTGTTAATCTATGGTTTATTTGAGACACTACTTTAAATAAAAATATTAACTTTGTAATTACAGTATATTTTCTTACTGCTTGGCAAGTTTCCCTTCACATTTTGAATTCTGTGATCTGTTTTTTGTGTTTTTAATATAGCTCATTCAGTTGATATTGAGTCACCTTACAGTACCAGACCTGTGTAGACTAGCACAGACTTGTAAGCTACTATATCAGCATTGCTGTGATCCTCTACAATACATTCACCTCAGTTTACAACCCTACTGGGCAAGGATAAATGACACATCTCTGGAATACCTACTGTCTCGCTGCACTCTCATCCAGTGGCTGAATTTATCTTGGACAGGAAACAGGGGAGCCATATCTGTTTCTGGATTTAGCAGGTCAGTGCTCAATATACTGAGGTATTTCAGCAGGCTCTGTTTTCTGAGCTGCCATTCAGTAGTTTCGTTATTAAATATTTAAAAGCCTTTAGACCTCATGCTTGTATCAAAAGGCAGGCATGCAGCGTCTTTGTGTTTTTACCATGAAGAGCAGGATTTTTTGATGTAGGAAATCATTTATTTTAATACATTCTCCAGCTAAAACAATAAGAGAGATTGCACACAACGATAGAAGTCAGTTTAATGTGATAGATTACATATATTTAATGACAGGTTTCAGAGTAACAACCGTGTTAGTCTGTATCCGCAAAAAGAACAGGAGTACTTGTGGCACCTTAACAAATTTATTTGAGCATAAGCTTTTGTGGGCTACAGCCCACTTCTTCGGATGCATAAAATGGAACATATATTGAGGAGATATATATACACATACAGAGAGCATGAAAAGGTGGGAGTTGTCTTACCAACTCTGAGAGGCCAATTAAGTAAGAGAAAAAACTTTTGAAGTGATAATCAAGATAGCCCAGTACAGACAGTTTGATAAGAAGTGTGAGAATACTTACATGGGGAGATAGATTTAATATACCTCATCTGCGCATGCCAAATGGTACCTACAGAAAAGTTTCTCTTAATAAGAACTCATGTTAACATTCTTCTGTAATATTGAGGCTCCTATTGTAATTATGCTATAAAAATTTTTCACAGATAATACCTTCAAAATGTCCTTGATTTAGATGAAGCCATTAAATGTCAGTATTCTGGAATTGCTATGATATTGAACTGATTATATTTCTCACTGTGTACTGTATGAAAGAGAACTGTCAAAAAGCAGTCCTGTAAGTTACTAAAGCACAAACTCAGATATATTACTGAAGGTAATGAATTGATAAGTTTAGTTTAAACTCTAGTGACTAGCTCATGGACAGAGCTAGTAAGTGATGTATGGGGTTACATTTTCAGATCATTCATTAGGCCAGCAAACTGCTTCATATTGGGGGTGAGTCCCTGAGCCCATGAAGAGCCCCGCTGAAGTAAATGAGTCTCCGTGTGGGCAAAGGAGTTGACCCATGTGGAGCAGCTTGAAGGAGTGGGACCCTAAGTAACCACTGGAGTGTAATGTAAATTAAAGTATCTTCATGTGCACCTTCATGCCAAACTGGAAAAAATGACTATGTAGTAGTTCATTAAAAACAGCTAAATTGCAGGGACACTTTTCTGTATAACTACCATGTTCCTGGCTTGCTAATGTATCATTTTCTGCTTTTTTGCTCATTTGCCTTAAACAGTATCTATCAGGGCACTTCACTGTAAACAGAAAATGACTTCTTTAAACAAAAGATAACCAGCAGATGAAAGCTGAACTTCACTGATAAAAGAGAAATGTTTAGTCTAATGTAACTTTTTTTATATATATTCTCTCCACTCACATATATTCATTTCTGATACATTTTTGCAGTACTGCAACCACTTTTCCCTTTCGGAGTACAAAATACTCTGAAAATTCCGCTTTTTTTCTAAATATCATTCAAGGTGCATCTCTCCTTATATGTAGATTTGTAGGAAACAAGACATTACATAATTTAATATACAAAAGCATTTCCTAATGCTGGATGTGCGGTTAGATACATTTGGTGTCTGCTGTCATATAGATGCTCAGTAGTGTCATTCCTGTTAACTCTGCCTGTTGAAAACTAGAAGTGTGTGCAAGTTCAAGCTTATATAGATATACAGTGCAATTTTCATTTTTTACATGTGCAGTACAGATTAATCTCTGAAAAATCTAATGCATGATATTTAACTGTATTAGTTAGACATTGGTGTAATTGGTAGTGGAATAACTGCCCAAATTCAAAGGATTACAAACTCTGCAAAATAACATGGCATTATTGGTCTAGGATAGGGTTCGTTTACTGATTGGCCCTTTTACTTGTCTACGGAAGTGACAGCTGCAGTGATTTGTAGTCAGCATTCCCAGAATAAACACTAAGTAGTCATAACTTGATTAATGAATAATCTGAATAAGCATGTCCTATTTATGTTCATAAGTGAACAAGATTTATTTAGAACAATTTTAAGAAAAAAGTGTTCTCTCAGACCTTGGAGATGATTGCTAAATGATCTGTATTTTTAGGAATCATGCAGAAAAAGTGCATGCAGTCAGTTGGGTTTTTGGGAGGTTTCTTTGGCCGAGGTTTGTTAGTTGCGCAGCTATACGATACCCTTTAGAATCAGGACTAGTGAACTAAATTACTGGAGTTTTTTTAAATATACCATTTACACAGGATTTTCACTCTTTTATATGTTTTGGCCAGTTTTTTGAAAGATTTTACTGTGAGGGCACATATCTTGAAGCGCTGTCCGTTGTATCTCTTTTGCTCTGTAGAGATCTCTCTTTCTGTTTTTATAAATAATTTTAAAAAGACAAAGTTTTCTGTTTCATCACTGGGCATTGACCCGTTTCTGTCATTTTCTGGCACCAAGAAAGGGAAGTCTGCTTCCCATTTGGGTATTGCTAAACGAATTTGAGTGTGTTTTAAGGGAGCATAGATGTTAGAGGAGCTCTTATTTCTCATAGGAATTAATGTGAATTCCTTTTGTAATATGGCCACTTCCTGGATAAAGATGGACTTTCCTCAACAGAGGAAATCTGTCAAGTGGCCTTTTAGCATTCCACACACAGCTTCACGTGCCTCCATTATCTGGATGTTGGAGCTTCCTCTGATGCAGTTTAAAAATCATATTGTAAACAAATTACATTCTCTATCAATTATACTAACACTACCTTAGATAACTTAAAGGGGAATATATTTTAAAAATCAAATATTTTGATAACAGTGGGTGAAATTCTGGCCTCATTTTAGCCAGTGGCAAAACTCCCATCAGGGTGGATTTGATTTAAATCACTAGTCAGGAAGACTCGATTTAATCACGGATTTCTACATAAAAGTGCATTCTTATTAGTTGTTATAACCTTAATAAATATTTTTCACAACTCAGAGATAGATGTAGGTTTCATTTTTAGAAGGTACACACTATACATTTTTAGTGATTTATTTTGAAAACTTTTCAGATTAGTTTTACAGCTATATCAGAAAATGAACGATTGGTTATTTAATTTACCAAAAGTAATTGAAGTAGATATTTATGAAGTTATTGGGAGGATTTTCTTGCCATGCTGTATTAGGAGGAGAACATCACCAGACAGACATTTAAATTCTTTTATTTAACTAAAACAACAACGTTATGTATTCTGGATTTTTTTTCTTCACTAGCAAACATATATTTTAACAAAACAAGCATATGAATTTTTGAATTTAGTTAAACATTCACGTTTTTTAAAATCGGGTTGGCTTTTGTTAAAATTGTTTTTAACTAAAATAGTTAAATGAAATATTTAAAAAACAAAACAAAAATTAAATCGACTGTATCAGCCAGGTCAACATGAGGAACTTAAAATATTGGCTTCTGCAGCTAACTCGATCGTCTTCACTTTTATTTTCCTGTTTGTTCATAATCTGGAAAAGAAAAACAAGCTTTCCTGCTTTTTCAGGTCCCAAACGATTTCTCGATTTGGAATGATTAATCCAAAGGAAGAAAATATTCTTTCTACACAGGCAGAAGTAGCTATTGCTGTTAAAAGTGAGATTATCACTTTAACACTCTCTAAATCCAAATGCTTAACTGACTTCCACCAGTTCACTGGTGTGACTTTCTTTAAAACATCATCAGCAAACATATATTTCTTGAGTGGTTCACCCTTAGCTCTGAAGTTTATTATAATTGACATTATGAAGGGATGATTGCTGGATGTCTATATCATAGCTTACTCCTCTTCTTCAGCAGTTAAGGTTTGACCCTGGTACCGAGTATTGAGAATATTTGTAAGAAAATGAGCTGGAGATAGTGCTTGTCCCATTCGTTTTTTTAATACTTGTAATTTAACTCTGTCGTTGCATATTTCGCTTTTTAAGATCTCATTCAGTTCCTTCCAAATTTCAGCAGCGTCAGCAATAAAACAGCTATTTCCCTGCATTTTGTTCAAGGCTACAGAAATAGGCTTCAGGGTATTCGGCATGTGTTCAACATTTCTCTTAAACCCAATGTTGAGAACTTTGGCTGTGACAGTGCCATCTATTTTTTCATTATTTTGTTCACAAACTGTCATCAGATTAGGCCAGTTCGTGACATAGTACTCAAAATAGTCCACTACTGAGTTCCATCAGACGTCTTATGGGATAGTTAGTTTGGTTCCTTCCACTTTTTTTCAGAGCAGCTGCTGCAAAGTCGTTGTTACGGAAGTATTTTGCAATTTCAACAACATTAGCCTTTATTTCTGGAACACTGAAATCTTTGGCTAGGAGGTGCATCAAATGAGCACTGCAACCCTATGTTATTAGCGTGGGACTCGCTTCTAAATAATTTCTTCTCATCTTGGATACATTTGCAGCATTGTCTGTGACCAAACGGCGTACTAGACATTTGAATTTTTTTTCACAGTTTGTTATAGCTTTTACTGCTACTTGTAAGTATTCTGCTGTGTGTGCATTTCCTGATGTCTCAATTGTTTCTGTAAGGAAGACATTCCCTTCTTCTGTTGTCACACAAGGACATACAACAGGATCATTGTGGATATTGCTCCACCCATCAACACTCAGGTTAACAATTTTACCCTCTATACCTTTTGCACACTGCTCAATTTCTCTTTCATATACTTTATCCAGCAATTTGCCTACGACATCTGCTCTGTTGGGTGGACTGTATTCTGGTCTTAATGACTGAACCATGTTAATGAAGTGTGGATTCAACTTCTAAATCATATGGAAAGGAGAGTTTGTTGCATAAACAAACCAGGCAATTTTTTCATCAATTACCTCTTTTTATAATCTGCTGGCTCTTATCTCAAACTTATCTATGTTTTTTTCTGGATGATGGAGATTTTTTTTCTTTTTGCTACAGGTGATATACTGTGGCTATGTGACATACATGATGTGACTGAAACA